GGACTCAGAGGTGGATGTATAAGGAAATGTTTTCCTAGCAATCCAAATTATGCTCCTCAAAGTTGAAATACTTTGTCTCCAACCAATCTGTCAAAGCAGAAGAGCTCTCAGCATGACTTTTCTCCCTTTTATTGAGCATGTCTATAATTGAATATGGTCAGGAAGTAGCTAAAATCTTTAATATGCTGAAGATCTTTATAGACAAGATGGTGGCAATATGTACCAAGGCAATGTAAGAATAAACTATCTAATTTTATACTAATATTACACTCTGCTTAAATGATATAGCACATTTAGGGCATTTAGGGTCTTTCATTCTCTATTTTTTGTATTGGTTTGGCTTTGCTTGCTTTGGGTTTTTTTTTTTTTGAGTTTATAATGAGAGTCAATCTATTAATATTTTGGGGAAAAATGGAACATATTGAGAGAATGCTGAAAGGCTGCAGTGTAAATAAAATTTAAACCATCTTAACATAAAAAATAAAAACTGGACGATAAAGTAGTGTGAGAAAACCAAAGGCACAAGTCTGGGTCTCTTGGCATTAATTTCCACAGGCTAGCCAGTTAGTTGACATGTGAGAGTTTATATCAGTGAAGAACAGCCCTAGAGTTCAGTTATTTTATTGCTTCTCTAATAAACTGAATTGTAATTTTCTGCTGAGATTCAGTTAAATTTTCAGCATTTAATAGCCCTTAGAATTAAATCATAATATAGGAAAATGTTTGCCCACCTAGGCATCTCAGCTTAGGTATATGAATCTTTACTTTCTTTCTCCTTCTCAGGATGTTCTAACATCTAAAGAAATTAAAAATTGAAAGCTACATAATTTTATGTGAAATCATGTTGTGCATCAGGGCTTTTAGGAAACTAAATATATATATATAATACACATTTAAAGCATAAACCTGACTTTTTTATTTCTCTGGTGTTGTTGGAACAGAGAAAATATAAAATCTGAAGCTTATCAAAACTCAGATGTGAAAACCCAACTCAGCAGCAGGCAACATGACACTAATTTTTTTCTTGTTACACAATTTATAGAATTGCAACACAGTATGCAATCTAGATGGCAGCTATTCAGAGATATTCTAGTAGGGTAATGCAGGGATGCAGAATATATTAATTTCAGGTGAATAAAGGGATCCTGTTTATTACTCCAATCCCTATTTTTCCTAATAAACCAAATGATTCCTACAAAAATCCACTGATTTTTTTTTTTCTGGTATCCTTCAGAGTGATGGTATAGCATGGTTTCTATGAATGCATGAAAGAAATTATTTCTAACTATGAGGGAAATATTTTTGACACAAAAATACCAATTTCTAATAAAGCAGCCACTTTTAATAATGGAGTTTTATGAAATAGTGAAAACAGATTTTAAACCTGTATTTCAACTAAATGTATTCCTATATCTCATGGAAGACAGAAGGATTAAAAAGTACAATTCTATTCTGAATTCCTCTTGCTTAGAGAAGTTGTGCATAATTATAGTGTGAGCATCTTCATTGCTCTGCTTACAAGGTATTATTCTGAAACAAAGAATTAGAGATGTTTCAGGTTATTGGTATAAGTAAGGTCCTGAAAATTATAACAAGGGGAAAAAGCTGATCATTTACTTTTGGAACCTCCAGTATGAGTCCACTCCACGCAGGGGCTAAGAAATGTCTACCTACTAGTCAGTTTATTTTGATATCTCTTTTCCAATTAAGTTTTCTTCTAAAATGCTTCAAAATGAAGCAAATATACATTTTTATTGGACATTTGTTGCTTCCTTTGTTTTTACAAGTTCTGGACTTTTATTCAGTAGGTCTTAAATGAAATTCTTAAAATCTGATGAATTAAAACTTTTTTCCTTCCTCTGTGATAAAGGGCTTCACTCACTGCTGGCTCTAGAGGCTGTTGTGAATCACAGGCACACTCTCTAAGGAAATTTTTTTATTAATTATTTAACAGAGACCATTAACTAGCTGTAAAAATGTAAGAACACCAACAGATTTAGGACCTTGAGGTTATTATGAAGCCATTGCGTATGTAACTGCATAAAGAAAATAAAATAGATAAATAAGATTAATTTGGGCAAAAATCAAGTTCCAAGAAATTTCCATGTAGAACCTATTGATGGTGAAGTTTCAGTGTTTGGGTTTTCTTCTCTTTTTTTTTGTTTCCTACAAGAATGTAGACTTTTAAAAGGTCTGTGTATCTGCACAATGGGGAGAATGCTTTTCTAATTATTTCTAATCAATTTCCATTTATTGCTTTTCTAATATTTTTTCTTTGTAATGAGGCTTAGTAACATTTTGAATATTGCAAACTGTCTTAGAATTAAGTTTGAAACGGCACCTGAGTGATGTCACAGGTCAGAAGTGTAGTAACACTTTGTTACCAATTCTTCTGTGACTGCATTCAAGGGAAGCTTTGGATTCTGATGGATTACATGATTTATTATATAAATTACATTGTATGAAAGATTTTCATAGTCTCCAGGAAGAATCTATTTCTTCATTTTTAATTAAGCTACTAGCAAAGCAGTGTAAATCTGTGCTGCACTAAAGAAGGATCACACACACAGGCATTGAAATTGCTTAATCTAACTTTTAAAGGTGCAACTCAGGATTGTGTTCTTTTTGTATTTGCAATTAGGGGGTTGAACAGATGTGGAAGCTCACCTACAGAAACTAGTAGAATTTACCTGCTGATTCAGATATTTGTTCTGTTTAAATATATTAAAGGTGTAAAGGATATAATTTTTGGGAATGTGAATATTCTACAGAAAATTCCACTTGAAATTATTCTTATAATAGATTTAGTTTCTACTACTTAATTCTGACAAAACAATTGAGAGACAATGGTGAAGGATTTTTATAGTTCTTACAGTTAGATCACAGAGGTATCCAAGAAAAATCATGGCCATATTCTTAAAAAAATGCTATTTTCCCCCCAAGATACACCATAAAATTGCTTTTTCTATAATTACACTTCTGCAACCAAAGTTCTGTGCCTAAAACTGCTGAACACTCATGGTGAATCACACAAATACAATAGGGAAAAGAGAACACAAGTGACATTTTTCCAGGGAGTTGTTTTCAGACCTGTGAAGTAATTCTGAAAGCAGTTATTTCAGCTGCAAAGTGAGGAGAACATATTGCTGAAGCATAAAAGGAATGAGATTGTGTCCAATAATTTGCTATTTGCTATTCTCTCAACCTATTTGCTGATAGAATGCAAATATAAATTGTTTTTTTATTAGATTGTTACCAAAGGCTGCCTACACATTGACCATTGCCCTCCCGCTATTGTTTTCCCTTGGTTCTTAATTATTTATCTTTCAAATGATGCTGTACTTGATCTTTTACTCAAGTACTGTGTACAGATTGAATTGCAGGGAGAAATCATTTATTTCACATATGCTGTAGTAATGTGACATTTTCTTTAAAATAGAAAAGTCTTACACTTTATAAGTCACTAACATTGTCCACGGAATAAAGTCTGTAAGAACCAAAAATGTCAGAAACAGAAAGCTGTAGTCTTTCCATGCAATATAGATGTAAATTTTTTCCTGAAGTGGTATGAATATATGTTCATATACATTTAAACACCTTCTCTTTAAGGTCAACAACAAATAACTGTCATGTAATAAGTAACAGAAGGTCACTAACCTTGATTTAAACACTTGAGGATAACAAGCACAGTATTAGTTATGGGAAGTATTGAGCCAGAAGCAACTCTTAGTGCTAATTGAGTAGTCTGGCAGGTGAGGAAAGGCTGTTGTGGTTAATAGAACCCCAGGCAGAGTTTTCTAATTGTGAAAGCATTTTGCCACTGACAAAAACTACCTTTTAAAGATCGTCATGGCTATTTATAGGTATTCTCCTGAATGTTTCCTCAGCTGAGCAATAGTAAGCTTAGATTTTAAATGCTGTGACTTAGGGAGGAAGGAAGAAACTTCCCTGACTGAAAACTATTCTGAGTTCTATCTATATAATCATGCCTGCCAGGACTCTTGAATATGTTCACCAAGCAGTCTCTCTTTGCTTGTGTTGAAATAATCTCATTTCCTTGTTCATCAATATTCCCAGGAACTCTCACTTCTTCAGTTTGTTGTGTGCATGCTGCTCTAACAGGGACTGGATTCTGTTGCCTAATTCATGCCCAGCAATGTCTTGAAATAAAATTTAATTGAGGTAATGAACACTTACAAGGTCTCATCCTGAAGCTAAGGGATGGAGGCTGACAGGCATAGCAGCTTGAAATGTTTTTCAGGAATCCCTTGAAGTCTGCCCAGTATTTGTAGGGTGTGTGAAATCCTCTTAAGCCAGGAGAAGCCATTTTCCTGGCACAAGGCTGGAAATTCTAGGTGGACACTAAAATGGCATCATTGAAACTGCAGTTTCCATGGCAGAAGACTGCATGGATAACACTCTCTATATAATAAATATAACCACAAATGCATAAAGACAGATAGAGATCAAAATCCACTAGAGGAAAGGATGCAGGGGTCAGATACAGTGACAGGGAAAAGAAGGCAAGCTATGTCAAAAAATTAGCTAAGCAATGGTGTCCTTTCCAATCAGTGATATTTAGCAGCAGAAGAATGAATGAGAGTTTTCTGCAGCTTTAATTGTGCCTTTTCCTCTCAAGGGAGCTCCTCATTCAAGGATTGACCCCTTGTCTGGCATTGTGTGAAACGTGATTTTGTTAATTAAATACCAGCCTGTTGAATGCACTGGGCTCTTCAAATTAGCCTATTAGCAGTTTAACACAATTAGATGAATTAAAAACAAAATTCCTCCTTCAATTAAGACAGCATTCAATCCTCCTTCATAACCTTTATTTTTTTTTTTAAGACTCATTTCCCAGCTGCTTTAAAATGATGTGTTGGTATTGCAAAGGCTCCCCTGGTTTCTCTGGCCAAATTCTGCCATTCTAACTCATGGTGAGTAATCCTTCCCTGCCTGAACTAAATCCCTCCATCCAAAATGAGCTGTTCATCTTGAGCCAAGTGTTGCTCTGTGGAGCTGAAGTGGCAGAATGGAATCCTTGCTGGAATTTTGCTGTACAAATATTCACAACATGGAGTTCTGGTGGGTGAGGTTATTTCTTACATTTTTGCTTAACAAGACTTCCTGCAGAAATCATTACCTAAAGGGCTTCTAGAAGCCAACACTCATTATCTGTGGAAATAAGTCTCCAAAAGAGAATTTAGATATTTAGATATTGGGAAGGCTAATGTTGAAACAGGCAAGGGGGTTTTTGTTCTATTTTTGTCTTTAAAAAAAACTCCCAAAGTAAAACCCTACATAACCCTTCAGATGTGAGAGGTTAATGTTGCTCTGTCACCCTGCTACCTGAATTGTTTGGAGGTGTAGGCAGGATGTGGGGAGGGTGGGTGGCCGCATGTGATGTAACTCAAGGAAATATTCTTTGAAGAGGCTTTGAATATGCAGTAAGTAGCACTTAAAAACTGACAGATTTTGCACAGCCATACTTGGCAGCTTGGGTGTGATAAATAAGCTGGCTGTGATTTGAAATGAAGCTTTTCTTTTTTTTTTTTCCCCTGACTGAATTTGTCAATACAGACACTGCCATTTTAGCCATGCCCATTGAAAGTGCTCTTTAAAAATGGGCAATTTTATAAAATTAAAGTCTTCTAAAGTCCTGCAGTTGCTTGCATGGGAATTGATGAGAATAGCTTGCAGCTGGTAACTCTGCCTAGAAGTAAACCATGAGTAATGAGGGGAGGTTATGAGAAAAGGAACATCCTCATGCCTTTCCTCAGTTCCCTCTGAGGCAGCACAAGCCCTGCAAACCATTCCAGGCTGTATTTGGATGACTGCAGCTACAAAAACAAGTCCAGATTTTGGTGTTTAGAACTTCTAGAAGTTCTTTTAGAAGTGTCCTCACTCTTCATTGTGCATTTGTCCCTCTGAACATGAAAAGCTGAAATTGCCAATTACTCTGACACGTGGTCTCATCTTTAAAGAACTGGTAGCTATAAACCAAGTTATGAGGTCAAAGCAACGTATAAAAATGCAGTTCAAAGAGTTTTTTTTCCCTTAGATGCTCCTTAAAATTTTCTTTCAGTGTGTGATGAATGCTGAGACTCCCTGGCAGAGCTACCAAAAGGCCCGAGGAATTATGGACTGCAGTTTGCTGCATTTTTATTGTCTTAGTTGTATCTGAGCTATTACTGTCCAAGGTGTTACAATGATCATTTGTGAGAAGTGATGTTACAGAAAACTGTGGTGTTTTTTGTGGATTGCTGAAATCATATGAAAATCATACTACATTTTATCTTCCATTTTATCCTTATTCCAGAGGTTGTGATTGAACTATGTTTAAATCCTGTCTCCAATAGGCCTTTTATCTTCTAGGAAGTTATACTACAGAAAAATAGGTTCTGTAATCTTCTTTTTGTTTGTATTCATATTGTATATTCTGTGGGCTCATTGCAAAAATATTTTCCCTGAAGTTCAAAACATTGAAAACACAGGGTCTGTTTCCCTCCACCTCCGTCCTCTCCACATATAGATACATTTACATGAATTAAATTACTCTTTTTTGTTGTTTTTATAATAGGAAAATATACTTCAGGGCTTTCCTCAATTTTTAGATGCTCTATTAAAAAAAGAGGGAACTGGTCAGCAGTAATTATTTTATAATCCAACAGATAATGTGAAAGGAGTAACTGCTTCTATCTGAACTAATGTTCTCCCATCAAATTCTGGTTTAAGCCTAACTTAGAGCATATTTACTACTCTTAGGATCTTTGAGAAGTGGCCCATTCTTAGATGATTTTGATTTTCTTCTGATTTTTTTTCTTTTAATTTTACAGGATGCAGCTGCAAGTCCTTGTCCTTCAGCTTGTGTATCTTTTACATCTTATGTGAATTAGAAACAAGCATTGTAATACTCCAAAAAATCAAGGCCAGATCTCACCACAGAATGGGTGCATAAAAAACTCAAACTCTGATCCTATTTGTATTCTAGGTATATTTCAGAAATCAAGATTCCAAATTTTGACTGAAAACTGCTTCTCAGGCATTTTCAAATGGAAAAGCAGAAAGATTTTGGTTGACAACAATTCTAACTTCATCACCACTCATAAAAAGGCATATTTGTATTATCCCTCTGATTGTTACTTCATAAACAGTAAAATTTTGTTATTATAGTGTATAAATCTGTATCATAGATAATAAAAATGAATACTTTTAAGCTGGGCTCTGTAAAGCTCTATTTTAACCACAAAATAGATTTTGCTGATGTCCTGTAGGTAAAGGTTGAAGGCCTTTTCTTATTCCCAGGTTTATACATGGGTTTAATTGTTTTTCCCAGTGCAGATTTTCAGAACACTGTCTGAAATTTTATCTCCTTGTTAGGCCCATTTTTACTCCCTTTCAAGCCATCTGCAATTTGATTTTCCTACAGCACCCTCTACACACAGTGCAACCTCTTCAAGGTGCAGCTGATCTCAGAGTACCTGATTCAGTCATGCTGGCAGCATTTTATTCAAAAATATTGTTGTTATCAGCTGTAGAAACATCTCAATGCAAAGTGCCACTCCAAACTGTGACAGGTGAGGAAAAAGACAATTCTAAAATAACAAGAGCTTCCTCTGCAGCAAGCATTAAAAGAATTTCTTGGATCAGAAACGAATGGGAAATATTTATCCCCTATTGATATATGATGCAGTTGTACAGTAAGAAAAAATGATCAGCTTTACTTCCAGTGAGTAGGAAAGACATCCTTAAAATAATTGGACAAATATGCTGATTCGTGTTTCAGAAAGTCCCACAACCCCTGATAATATACTAATCTAAAAGATGTCCAATATTTCACTAGTTAAGGTAAATAAATAATGACATTAGTGTCATCTATTTAGAAGTCAGCTCTGAAGAAATTAATAATGAGAATTTTATTGTTTTGTGAATATTCTATGAACAGAAATCAATAAAAGCTGATGTAATACATAGAAGAAGTATAGTAAATAGAAAATATGAATTATGCATTTGTCTCAAGGGTTTTCTGATGCCTTAATTTGAATTTTGAGTATGCAGTGAGACTAATAAACATCAAAGGCTATACATATCTAGAAATCTTTCTAGAAATGCTCCTGCTCTATTTTAAGGCAGGTATATTTCTTCTGTGAATTATTGCTGGTACACCACCAGGAAAGTATCACTAAGAGATAAAATAATTTGCATGAGACAACAGAACAGAAAAGATCAAAATGTAGAAGAAAATCTATGTCTGTTTTATTTTCTTCTACTTTTCTAAACACTTGGTACATTTCTGCTTGTTCAAGACTGGCCACAAATTGGGAGCACTTTTAATATTATAATGAAGAGCTGTGATAAAATGCTAAAAAGTACTGGGAGCTGTCATTGAACCTCAGAGATTTATTAAGAGTTTAGAATTCTGGTATAATATAAAAACAAAACAACAATGTTGTAGTAGCTAAGATAAGCATTTCCCAAGAATGCTGACAGAGTCAGAAAATGACATACACAGAATAAAGAGTATTACAGGAATATGCTGCAGGATAATCTAAATTCATGGCTGTTACCTGTTGCATTTGGGTGTCATCAATGGAAACCTGCAAGAGCTGAGTGATGCTTTCCTTTGCAATGCCTTGGGAAAGCATTTGTTTAATCATTCTCATGGCAGCATGGATAAAGTAACAATGAATTATTGTGCTGTCTTCTGGGTTTAGTGTAACTAAGGCAGAAAATTTAGATACAGAAACAAAGCCTTACATTGGTTACACTTAAAAAAAACAAAAGGCTAAAAATTAGACAAAATGCTCCAAAGAATGATATCTAGCTGTTCAAAGTATAGCTATCTCAAAACAACAACAAAAAATCAGATGTTATTTACATTTTTCATGCATGTGTATTTGTAGAATAATTCTGAGAAGCCAAATTTCTAAATCTGAAGTGTTCAGAACTAACAGTCAATCCCAGCAATTTTATTACTGAATCATCTTGCTGGATCATTCCATCTGTAGCAGCTACTTGTGTGTATCTCCAGGAAGATTAGGGATTTTGTACTTAATTCCATTTTATTTTATTTATTTAAAATATATTTTTTAATACATTTTACCCACATTTTTCATCCAGGCACACAGGAATTCTCCTCTTTTTCTACTGGAGCAATCAAGAAACTCAGGAAGTTTTAAAGTAATTAAAGTAAGTGGCTGATTCCCCCCCACCAATTCCTGTGCAAATGTGGAAAATAGCTTTTACAGAATGATTTTTATTTTGTTTTACTTCAATGACATGGATTTCAAAAGCTAAAAATCTAAGACCAGAACCAATGATTAAGCCCATATATTGCAGCAATCAGAACACACTGTTTTTCAGCCATTCTGTTCATCAAATCTCTTATTATTAACACAGGTAAATACCTACATTGTATCTGGCTTTATGTTTCTCTTCCTCTCGTTCTAAATATATCCTCTATTTTTATGGCCACCACCTGGTTTTCCTCCTCCTCTTTCTCTTTTTTGGGAACATGGTTATGTTCTTTTACCTGCTTTATGATTCTTTGTCTGATTCTCTTTTTTTTTTTTTTCCTGTCCCTTTAGCAGATGTTTCTCTCCTGTGCCTAAATTCTGGTTGCTTCTCCTTTCCATTTTTCATTTGTTTTCTCTCTCTCCTGCTGGCAGACAGATGGGGGCTTGCTGCTTGGCACCGAAAATGTTATGGAGAGGGTTAGTTCCCATCCCACTATGAGAACAGGCTGTTCCTGTGATATTTTCAAATAGAGGGAGGATGCTCTGGAGTACCAAATGGCACCTTCCTGGGACTGCTCTATTTTCATGACATTCTGAAAAGTCCTCCAAGAAGTTCATGGAAAAATTTGATATAGAGCTGACAGCCTGGATTTGATCCCTTTTGTTTTCCACTTTTCCACACAATTGCTGCTGTCCTGTTATTGATCCTTTCAGGTTTGAAAGACAGATCTGGAGGAAGAGCTGGCTTGTGCTCTTCCAGTACCAGCCTGGAGTTCTCAAAACACAAAATGTTCTTTCTCTCAAGAAAGAATACATATACATTCTGTATATGTTGAGCTGGAACTCCATCTAAGCATACATCAGAGGCTTGTCTCATATGCTGTTTTTTATCTGAGCAGCCTGGTAAGGCAGCCATACCATCAACAAGCATCATTCCACCTAGGCACATTCTATGGAAAACTTCTGCCACTTTTTAAATGGTAGGTAAAAGAAATAGTGGATTTTTTTTTTGGTGTGTTATGGTTCATATGAGCTTGGCTTGAAAACTAAAACAAAACTGTTCCCGAAGAGTTGTTACAATTGATATCTACAACTGAAGAGGCACTGGGAGAGGGCCTTCAGCAAAAAAGAATGCTTTTCCTGCAGCTGCTTGTTCCTGAGTGCTTACACATTGCCAACCTTCTTGAAATAAGGTCTCTATCTCAAACAGAGATTGAGAATTGTTGCAAACAGCACACTCAGAAGGAATCTACAAACAGCATCACATCGGTTTTCTTATGCAGCTTTAATATTCTGAGAATGAGGCACTGTCTTCATCTGACCTCTAAAAAGTTGAAGTTCAATATATCAAAAACCTCATTGTTCCAATAAGCCAAAATACTCCATAGCCAAGGATCACCTTTTTATTTGTATTTCCTTTACTCATTCAGTGGTACTTCTGTATCTGGCATGTGAACCTCATGGTGTGCTCACCACTCTTACTCAGCTGAGTAAGAACAACAGGACCTCCTTTGTGGTGTAGGAACCTGAGCTTCTCTTCACTGCTGCAAAAAACCACAGAGGTAGAATTTTAGATTTCCAGCATATAGAGCAGTTTACATATTTTATCATAACTCCAGCCCAATTTGCTTCACAAGCAAGAACGACTTCACTGAATCATAGAAAAATTTAGGTTGGAGAAGTATTTTAAGGTCACTAAGTCCAAGCATTAACCCAGCACAGCCATGCCCACCACTGAGTCGTGTTCCCAAGTGCCACATTCACTGCCAGCAGGCAGGGAAATGCAGTCAGGTAAAGATAACCAGCAGAGAAGCTGTGCCAGGAGATGAAGCTGCTCCCACCCTTTCTCCTCCAGAGCTGCACATCAAGGCTGAGCTGTGCTCTGCTCATAGGCAGTTTCCTGGCTCCCCACTCAGCTTTCAAGTCCCCATGAGTGGCAGACAGAAGCCACACAATTTGCAACTGGCCTGGAGGACAGAATCATCTGTGGAACAGCTCATGTCTTTAGCCTAGCTTAATAAAACCTTTAGAAATCAATAGAAGTTGCACAGAATATAATTTGGGGAAGGCTTGTGGAGACAAAAACTGTCTTTTCTCTCCCCCTTTATAAGCACTTGGCAGTTTTGAACATAGACTTAGAAAAGGCAATTTAAGGAGTTTGTGCTCATCAACAATCTTACAGCAAAAAATGAGTAATGCTAGAGTATCTCTGTAAGAAACAGGATATTATTTATATGATTTACACTAATTATTAAATGGCCCCTTTTCACACGCTCTTCAGTATGGTGTTTCAGTGACACCCATAAAAGCAAAAGTATTCTTTTTTGCTTCAAATTGCTGTTCATTTATAGAAGTTCTTCCTCTTCTTTTCTGGAGACATACTAACAAAAGCAGTTACACAATCCAAGCCACAAGTTTCCTGGAGTCACTCAAAACCTCTCAGAATTGAATGATTCTAAACAATTCAGCTTACATTTCTAAAGTTTTGATAATTAACTGTTACTGAAGTATCAAAGGAAAATAATCTCATGCCTATTCTGATAGAAGTTCTGTCTTACATGAAGAGCAGAATAAAAGCTTCCTTTTTCCCCCCAACTAACTGTGCTCCCACTTGACAAATCATTAGATGTAATAGATCAGCTTCCTCCATTTGCTGCAATAGTCTTGTAAAGTGAAAACTATATCCTCTTCTTTTGCAGGGATGTTCAAGCATAAAAATTGATGCATAAGTTTCAAGTGGCAATTAGGAATAAAAAAAATAAAAAGAATATGTATAAAAAGGTTTCTGGAAGTTATTTACTGTTTCTTGAGATAATGGTAGGTGAAATGATGCAATTCAAACAGAATAATACCTCTAAAAGAAATAAAAGATTTTTAGGGTTTTTTTTCATTAACCAAGACTCATTTTTAAAAATGTATTTTAGTGCCCAGGTGTCAGTCACAAAATTTTTTGAGATCTGAGACACTCAGATAAATTTGC